CCAGCGTTAGTCCATCGGGGCACGGCATATGCCCATCAGAGGTAATTGCGAGCCCACGCTGAACAATGATGGCCCTTCAACGGCCCCTAATGGATCTACATTGACCCATGGGCCATGATGTGTCATGTATGCCCCTATGACAGGCCTACTCAGACCCCTGATGGACATTCCCGGCCTCTGATGACCCTATACTGAATGCTAAAGGGGCTCTAAGTTTCTCCAATAACCCTTCGTCAACCCATTATTACCATACGCTGGCACTAGGGGCCCCACATCAGCCGCAGGGCAGTCCGTGCCATGACAGCATGTCTTTTCGGCCGATATTACATCGGTAATATTTATTAAAATCATGATTTTATGGTGTCATTATATAGCTAACAGTCATAAGAAATATATTTCAACTCGAAAACAGCTCCAAACAGCATATAATTTTAAAGAAACTCCTCCGAAATCCAAAAGCCTATTCGGGTCCATAGAGAATAACTGCGGTCCCCCGCAATTTCGTCACGAGCGTCGGACCAATCAGCGTCGAGTACTGCCGAGCGCTGATTGGTGAATTTTCCGCTAGCGTGTAAGTACTGCTCGCGGAACAAGAGTTCGTCGACAATCCTCCACAAACGTCTGTCACCATTTTTCGTAATGCTAAACAGCCGGAGCGTACCCCCCTGTGCTGGTCCATCAGTTCACCTCCCTGTTCTCCGCGGCGCATGCGATTGATAAAAGCTTCATCGACAATCACCGAGCTCTTCACAGATAACTTACCCGTCCCATCCTTCGCTGCACGCCTTCCCCGCTCCTGCACTCTCCCGCACAATTTCACAATAGCCTCAACAATTCAACGTGAACTACGCGACTCACCGCGCCACAACGGACTGAAGCGCGCGCCGCGGTTTTCGAACGCAACGGCTATAATACTCATCACGCGAACTCACGCATCACGCAGGACACTCACCCTGCCGCGCATGCGCGCATCTTCAAGCCGGGGGTACCTCACGCACAACTGCACGTGAATTCGCGAGAACTCATGCATTGCGCAGGAAACTAGATTTGCCCAAGCAAAACTCATTTCCGACTCAGTTCGAATTCACGAAACTAAGCACTCAGAAATCACGCATAACGAAGTCACCCTGGTGATGTGAGTTAGATCAGCCAATAAGTGAGCACCACTATCGTATTCACTGAGTTTCTTCATGAGTTATTACTGAGTAATGCCAGGCCTGAGTAAATTTTTTTTTTCAGTGCAGGCAAGTTCGATGTCCTACTCGCATCTGGTGATTGTAGGAGATTTCAACTTTCCCCAGATCAATTGGGAAACTGAAGCATCCAACGCACCTGACACCCATCTTTCTCAAACTTTTCTCGACACGATACATGACTGCTTCCTTTTCCAGCACGTCCGCTCTCCTACTAGATTTCGATTGGGTGAAACTCCAAATGTGCTGGACCTGGTGTTGACCAACGAAGAAGGCATGATTCGTAATCTCGAGCACCTTCCTGGACTCGCCAGAAGCGATCATGTTGTCCTGAAATTTACTGTTGTTTGCTATGCGGATGTGTGTACCTCACACCGCCCTCCGATTCTACACATCAACTACGAGCGCCTTGCAGGTGTCCTGAGGTCACGAAACTGGGATGATATCAGAAACCTGGACCTGGAAGAAGCATACGAATCGTTCAAGTCGCAAATAACCGGAGACGTTGAAGACTGTTCGGTCAAGAGAAGCGCCCACTCCAGGAAGAACCTCTACATGAATCGGGCGGCGATGCAGCTGAGAAAGAGGAAGCAGGTGCTGTGGGGCGTCTACCGTCAAACTCTCGACAACGTGGATCATGCCCGGTTTGTGAGGTGCAGAAATCAGCTTAGGGGCCTGACGAGAAAACTTCGAAGGGACCACGAGTCAAAGCTGGCATCGAACCTCAGACAGAACCCCAAAGCATTTTGGAGGTACGCCAACTCTAGGCTGCGTACTAGGTGCCGTGTTGAAGACCTGATGGATGACAACGGCGAGCTTGTGTCCAGCAACCGAGCAAAAGCTGAAGTACTAAGCAGGTTCTTCTCCAGCGTCTACACCTCAGAGGGAGCTGAGCCTCCCCCAGCTCTGCCATGCAACTTCCAGGGACCCCCACTGGTTGACGTGGATGTATCGCCACAGAAAGTTGAGGCTAAGCTGGCGGTCTTGAAGCCAACTAGCTCGCCAGGGCCGGATGCTATTCATCCCCGAGTGCTCCGCGAGTCTGCAGGCCCCCTGTCCGTACCCTTGAGTTTGCTATTTGCAAAATCACTGGAAGCAGGAAGTCTCCCCTCTGATTGGAAGATTGGCGAAGTAGTCCCCATACAAGAAAGGCGACCGCAGAAACCCCGCGAGCTACCGTCCAGTGAGCCTTACGTCCATTCCGTCAAAGGTGCTCGAGTCCATCATTCGCGACCATCTTCTTCAACACTTCACGGACAGTGGCCTGCTGCATGCGGCTCAGCACGGATTTCTCCCGAGGAGATCATGTTCCAGTCAGCTACTGGAGGTGATGGAAGATTGGAGTGCTGCATTGGAAGATGGTGACCCAGTTGATGTCGTATACCTCGACTTCGCCAAAGCCTTCGACTCGGTGCCGCATCAGCGACTCCTCAGTAAGCTGCGCGCCTATGGAGTCGGGGGGAAGCTGCTGAGTTGGATTGAGGCTTTCCTTGTTGGTCGTACTCAGAGGGTTGTGCTGCAGGGATCGAGGTCTGGCTGGGTCCCCGTCACCAGCGGTATCCCCCAGGGATCTGTCCTTGGTCCCGCCCTCTTCACGATTTTCGTCAATGACATGCCCCAGCAAGTGTCGAGCTGTGTCAAGCTGTTTGCAGACGACACAAAACTCTACCGTCGTGTGACAGGTGACCCTGCCGGCCTTCAAGCTGACATCAACGCTCTGGTCAACTGGTCGAAGAAGTGGCTGTTGCCCTTCAATGTGTCGAAGTGCAAAGTGATGCATGTCGGAGGTCTGAATCCTGAGCACACATACTTACTGGATAACGCCGCGATTGAGAGCGTGAGCGAAGAGAGGGATCTGGGCATCATTATCGACGAGAACCTGAAGTTCCACCAACAAACTGCTGCTGCCATTGCAAAAGCGACCCAGATGTTGGCTGTTGTGAAGCGCTCATTTGCTACCCTCGACGTGATCACGCTGCCTCTGCTGTACAAGTCTGTGGTGAGACCGTTCCTCGAGTATGGCAACATTGTATGGGGGCCATTTGGCAGAGTCAATCAGAAACGGTTGGAGCGGGTACAACGTCGAGCGACTCGCATGGTTGACACCATCAGACATCTCCCATACACCGAGCGTCTGCGCCGACTCGACATACCGTCGCTGTACTATCGTCGTCGCCGAGGGGACATGGTGACAGTGTTTCAGCTGTTCCATGGTGGCATGTCAGTGGCTCCTGAAGCGCTTCCGACCAGACACAGCTCCGACCGCACAAGGGGACATCAGTGGAAGCTGCAGAAACCGAACGCAAGAACGCTCACGAGGAGGAACACCTTCAGCACAAGAGTCGTGAATGACTGGAACTCTCTGCCAGCTTCTGTAGTGTCTGCCACCAGCGTCAATCAGTTCAAGGCCAGGCTGGACGAACACTGGAAAAGCCTGAAGTATGACATTCCATACCCATAAGAGCCCAGACTGTCCTAGTCCTAGAGCTCGATGAGAACGGGATCTCCAGGCCAAGTGGCCTTTTCCCTCCCGATCACTGTGAAGGTAAGGTAAGGTAAGGTAAAATCGGTATCTCGCAGCTACGATACATAGCGCTTGTGGAGTATACAGGGGGAGGCACTCGCCTTGGCCGTATATGGGCCAGAATGTCTAGCGATTTCCGCCATGTTGTGTATACCAAAGTCTTGAAAAGTTGATCACTGCAATCAAACTGCAAGCATGAAGCAGCAGCACTTTTGAGTAGTGTACCTCTCACTTAACTGCACCTCTGCTACCGTACATGCAATTTATATTTCTGGTATACACAACATGGCGGAAATCGATAGACAAAAACAAGTCACCAATGCTCCTTCCAGTATATATTAGAGTTCAGTGGGAGTATAGCCTTGTGTGCAGTGTAGTACTCGGAAAGTATTTGCATCATACACATGAAGCTTTTGATATTGCTCTTGATATTTTTCTTAAAATAAAAAATATGATTTTTAGAACAAAATATGTGTTGATTAAAAAAAAAACAAATGAAGACAGAAAAACAGCAATAATTTGTGCCCAGCAATGTTGAATGCCTAGATGTCGGATGTAACATGAACGGAAATTCGATTCAAATAATTTAGTCGTTGTATTTATTTTTGGGCGCGTCCGAAGCACGCCAAATACGTCTAAAAATCAAATCTGCGCCATTGCTGTTTTGGTTTCTTGTTTTGGTGTTTCAGTGCTGCCAGATTTGGAGGATTTCCGCAAATCTGGAGGATTTTGAACTCTATTTGCGGACAAATTTCGCTTTTGGAGGATTTTTGAATCTGGAGGAAAATCTGGAGGATTTGTCGCCCGATGATTATATTCAATTTCATGGAAAAATATAACACATTCAAGACTAAAAAGGCATTTTCCTGCCCAGCGTCACTATACCCGTTAGGATATATCACGTCCTTTATCACCGTGAGACTGCAGAATGTCTCAGTCTGTAGCTATATCTACGAGGGTACCAAACTACTGGCGGATCTAAGGGGGACATTTGGGGCAAATGCCCCCGGTTCCCCTGCAGCGCCCGAAATCGACGAAAATGATCGTTTCTTTTTGAAGGATAAAACGAAAACTAAACAACTTTTATAAGAAAAAGTATCTTTTAAACTGCACAGCAGTGCGAAAGGATTCGAAATCCGATGGTTTTTAGAATTTGGTGAATTTTTTGGGGGGGTAGAGCCCCCCGCAGCGTCCAAGACCGCCTTGCTATATCTACCAATAGGATTTGGAGGAATCTGGAGGATTTTTGTAACTGATCTGGAGGATTACAGCATTCCCCATCTGGCAGCACTGTGGTGTTTACATGTGATTAGTTAGCATATTTTTGTGATTTCTGTGTATTTTTCTTCTACGTATAATTAAGAGCACCAGTAACCTGCTAGAGTTACCATAGATGCAATACAATACAGGTACCATTCTCCTTTTTTAATGGCGCAAGAAACCCAACCTGTGTCGGTGCCAAATTTTTACCTGGCGGGAAGATCTTAGATTGAGATCGGAATATTTCGAAGGTCAAGGTAGGTGCCAATATACAATATATGCCTATATGTGTTTTGAATGTTATTTGTAATTTTCCTGCATCATTTTAAAACCGCATTGGTCACCCGTCGCCTGGATGCTGTTCAGTCACAGTTTTTTATCAGCATGCTGCGAGCATGCTGCTATTTCTTGGCTCCGCAATGGTCAAATTCACGTGGTCCATTCATTTGACCAATGAGAGGCTAAGAAGCGGCAGCAATAACTTCATTATATGGGAAACTCAACAGCATGCTGACAAAAAAAAAACAGCGACGGAACAGAGCTCTGCTCAGTTTCAGTGGTCAGGATTGGGATGCTCTCGAAAGACTGCTGAAGTGCCGACTCTGAGTCCAGTTGCTCCACTTCATTGTCAGGATGCTATCAATTGTCAACAGAATGTGACCTTTTCAAGATTATGGATGATGCCAGTTGTCAACTAACAGCATCCAGAGTCCTGAAAATGTTGCACTGTCTTTGCCGTTGTGATGCTGTCAAAAGTTATTTGAATTATTTTGCTGATGGTATTCTTTCTAACTTAGTAGGAGAATGGGTGACGGTTTTGATTTATGCTGAATCTGAATGACTTTGGTGACTAGAATCATATTTTTTGTCAGATTTCATGTAAAGGTAGCACTATCCTCAAAACCCAATACCTATCAGTTTTCCCTGTATCAGTATTACCGAATACGGGAGCTTCTACACACAGCAGCATGGTGTCATGCGCTAATGTCTTAAGAGCTATTACAGGCAATGAATGAGTTGAACATGTTTTGGATATGGGGAATATTTGTTTCTGGTCCCTAAAAAGCTGTTTCTGGCACCGAATTGCTGATCAGCCCCAAAATGCTTACTCGACCCTAATATCTGAATCTGGCACCTAATTGCTTCCACACAGCCTAAAGTTGCCAGATCGTCTAGTTGAACTCCGTATTTGCTGTTTGCTGATTCAGCACCAAAACCAAAACATCCAGCACCTATTTTATTCCACGTTTGCCTACCTAATTCGCGTAATCTTCCTGATTTTATGTATCCTAACAAACATGAACATTGCATTCGGTGATGTAAGTGCCATTTTCGCCAGTGGAGATAATGATTAATGCCATTTCTAGCCAAAAGAGAATCACTAGCCAGCTATGGTGCAGCATAGCAAGACGCTCCTATACCAGCCCGCTATGTAGAGATTATTGCACCCTCAGCCATTTTAACGTGAAAAGTTTGGATCCGTCACTTCCAGCCAGGCTCTCAGGTCATAAACTGGAGTAAAGCAAAATGTCAACTCTGAACAGACATGCCACGCAACCGGCCCTCTTTTCAATAGCTTTCTGCAATCATCGTCTGACTCCATCTCGATCAAACGCAGCATCCGGTTTCTACAGGGGCGTTTGACTGACCGGCCACACAATAACCAAAAACAAAATCAAAGCTTCATGCACACATAAGTAAGAAACGGATGAAAAAGGCACAAACACGGCACAACTCTGCGCGGCAAACAACGGACAATGTCACACGCAAGATCTCGCGTTTCTTCAGCGGCCTTGAACGGAATGAAAACATTACATTTCTTTTTTGGAGCTATTTGATGACGTCAAAAAATGCAATACCTGTTTTAATGGTGAAAATCGAGACAATTACTCACAAAAATGTTTCCCTTTAAGCATTACAAACAAATACTTTTAAATATTTAAATGACATTGTTTTTTTTTCGAACAAATCAATATTATTTGCTTACTTAAACGTCATATACAATGCTGAGATCACTACGGGACTGTCTTAGAGTGTAGCTGCACTGGCAACCTTTAGGCTAGACCCCAGGGGTCATTATACCAGAACAACATGATTCTACCAGCCAGTAGTTCATTTTTCTACTAGATTGGTGCTACGCTCAGCATTTAGGTGCCAGATTCAGAAAAAAGAGTAAGGCGTACCGATGAATAGGTGCCAGAAACAGCTAATTAAGGTCATTTTCCATGATTGGTGCTGGTATCCACCAAATAGGTGCTGAGGACCAATTTTGGGGCGAGTCAGCTTTTAGGTGCCAGAAATAGCTTTTCTGGGACGCAATTAAATGGCGTCCTTTGGATATGTGTATCTGTAGATTCCACCACAAATAGAGTGAAATTTTTAAAGCTTATTTTATTGTATCATTCAATGCCAGTGTTGCCTGCCCTCAGCACTGCTCCCAGTGCTGCCACTGGCAGCAGCCAGTGCTGAGCCATGGGAGCCTGATGGGTAGGAGTGGTGGAACATCAATCTGCCCCCGAGTGTACCTCAGGGTACATAAGGAAGAAAACTGTTTTTCTCAAATATTTTTTATTATCATGATTTGAGTTGTATGTAGTAAATGCCTATGCAGTGGAATGTGAATAACATCCATTAATTGTGAATTTATTTATTAGCCCGTATATGCATGCTGTGTTCTGTCAACAGGCTGGCTCAGCCAGTGTGGCCCGGCACCAGCCACCATGGACCACTCGAGAACCCAGGAGTGGGAGAAGCTGCGTGCCACAATAGCACAGTGGAATGACAACCGGCTGGACCTGTTCGAGCTCTCAGAGCCGGACCAGAAGCTCAACTTCCATGGCGTTATGAGGTAAGTCGTTTGCAGTCTTTCTGCGTGTTTGCAGGATTTTCTTGACTAACCTTTTGGGGTTTCTGGGACAGCCATAAACAATCCTTTGCTTATCTTGGAGAGTCAAATTGCAGGGAGTATGCTAGTAAATATGTAGTTCATCCTATTTGTTTCCATATTTGCTTATTTTTTAAAGGTAATTTGTCAATTTGACTCAAATATAGTGCAAATATTCGCTAACTTAGCTTCTAGTCAGTTCTCACAGCTCTGCCCTCAGTGCACCTACAAGTTACCATTTTCACACAAAAATGCAGATTCTGTAAAAAATAGTTCAAACGTTAATGCCAGTTCTTATTTGAATACCTACCCTCAACATGTTATTTTCTTTGACATTTTCATTTTCATTTTCTTGTGTGTCATCTTGGTTTTCCTTGGCTGTATATGTGTGATGCATAGTGTAGCCACTAGCCAACTGATACATTTCCCATCTGCTGATCTTGCTCTTTGTACAAATTTGTTGTACATAATTTGAGCATTTGTAGGGACAGGCTGACAAGCTTAATTTATGTTAAGCATTGTTGATCGGATGCTGCCAGCCCATTTCGCTAGTTGACGTCACAGATTGTGGTAGTGTTGGTCTGGAGCTATGAGGTTGTTGAATGTTGATGTCTCCGGGGTAACAAGAGAATTAACATCCAAGTTAAGCACGCCCATTTGCCCATTAAAGCTGGACAAGGTCTGTCCCACTCAACTGACTCCAACCTGGCTGAGGCTGCTCCCACCAACCGCAGACCATCCCCATCAGGACAGGAGTCTCAAATATCGAGCGCTGGAGTGACTCAAACCTGGGCTCTCACTACCTGGAATCCAAGGCTCTACCAGCTGAGCTTTGGAATGAACAAAGTTCACAATGTACCGGATAAAACGCATTGCGATGATTTTCCGGACTCGGAGGATATCACTGCATACTGCATAGCCCAGCTGCTCGACCTTTGCTTTGGTGCCCTTAGTGTTTCATTCTGTTGGATGTTTGCTAACTCATAAGGTTGAATAATTGATTTGCATGCGCTGTTGTGATTTCATTGGAGTATAAACCATAACATCACGCACACCAAAACGTGGGTTTGTAGCTTTGCTGAATGTTACAGCTGCAACATGAAGATCACTGAGCATTGTCCTCACGCACTGTCCCTGACCACAGTTCGTTGTCATCCGACAGGTTCTACTATCAGGACTCTGGTCAGAAAGTGTCCACCAAGTGTATCCGCGTGTCTTCGGACGCCACCTCTCAGGATGTTATAGCGACGCTGATCGAGAAGTTCCGGCCCGACATGAGGATGCTGTCGACGCCGCGGTTCGCCCTCTACGAGATACACGAGAGCGGAGGTGGGCCGGAGAGGAGGGAGGAAGGGGTGCCGGGAGGAAGGAGAGGCAAGGTGGGAGAGGGAGGTGGCTGGAGGGACTCTGGGGTGGGCTAAGTGTGCTGTCAGGTTTTTAAACGCTGTGTGCTTCAAAGGTTCTGTGCATCTTCTAACTAGTTGATGAAACTAATGACGGAAAGTCATGCTAGTAGCAAAAAAAAAAAAAAAAAACCGAAGGATTGCCAACTCATAGTAGGACTGAAAGGAAATTTACGATTAGCTTCAAGTGATATTAAGAAGAAAGTTCGCGTGTTTGAAGTTAAACCCTCGTGTCATCACTTGACTGTCCCATATTCTGTTACGGTTAACACAGCACCTCGTTTTCTGAGTCCTGTGAGTCTGTTCGAACAGCTCCGGTGACAGTGGAATTACAACCAGCATCAGCTGCACCGCCGTCTCTTTTATCTGATACGGGGCTCGATCCGCCGCTCAGAGGGCTTCAGATTGGCATCTCCGTTGGTGACGTCATATGAACATAGTCGCTCAGCTAATATTATGTTCTATTCCTGATTGTCCGATTACTTGTGGGCTCTCATGCAGGCTGGTGTGGGTATATTATATTCGTAGTAGTTTTCCTTTTTCTGTAGCTTCACTGTCTTCTTTTTACGAACAACATTTCTTTGCGATGCACGAAACGACGCCAAATTGACGTTTGCATAAGATAATGTCTCAATATATGTAGATAGTAGGATATCTTGCCCTTTTGCTGTGACTTAATCGTTTTTATTTTATTTTCTTTTTGTCGTAGGTAAATGCTCGTATTCCAGACAAGTAACAATTTTGATATTATTGCAGTCTGCCAAAATTTTCAATTAAGTACACACTACACACATTAATAAGGAGCTGTCAGTTACATGTATCGCAATGTTAGCCTTTTGTAGGTAGTCTTTTGTGAGGCATTAGGCACGTTAGCCTTGCATAGCCTTTTGTCAATCTGAAATGAGCCAGATGCAACCCTTAAACTCAACTACATAAAGCCTTAACTATGTAAACATTGCACGCTATTGAAGTATGCCCCGCTGTAGTTTTTTATCTTGCTCAAATTTAGTTGCAGTTTCTCGCTACTCTGTAGACTGACGCCAGCGTCACTTCTCTGTCAGTTTATCATGGCCTGCTCTTCTGTGCCCGTTTCACTGACCGACTACACGCTGTTATCTGGTTTGTTGATCAGTTACATGGCACTCGCGCCAGTAAATGCTGGTGTTACATATGTTGCTCGTGGACATCCCGACAAAGCATACAAATCAAGCAAGAATGACTCGTGTGTGCTGACAGTTTTGTCGCCGATACATTTTTTTCTGTGAGAAACTACAGCGAAAAGCTTCGTCACGGTTATGCCGCTGTATTTTCTGCTCATCTTAACTTAATGATTATTGAAAATTACACCAATTTTGCAGGCTCAAGGTTCAAGCACCACATACTTAACCAACCACTTAACATAGATGACGATATTTTGCTGCGATCTGGCCAATAGTACATATTTGTACTCCATTCATCACTGCGTCTTCACGCTATCTGCGCCAGCTCGGGGATGGACGCCGTCAGATATGTCCCGGCTAACAGTTGTCTGTTTTGAGACGCGACCAGGTATTAGAACGTTCTACAGGTGTGTTACCGCGAACTTCCGACCATTGTGACACCTTTCATTGCCCTCTATCTCGGGTTTGTGGACGTATGTACCGACGGGGGCGATGGGCGGGGAGCTCGTATTGCAGGACTCCGGTCAGTCCAGCAGCCAGGAATTTAGATGATGTTCAGCTGCGGAAGTCAGTCAGTTGCTGTAGAGTTGGCCGGCTGGGTCCAGTCATGTTCGGATTCGGAAGTGTCGCATTGTGAATATATTGAGCTTGATTGGCACAGCGATTGTCTTCTAGGCGCAAGTCTTCCACGAGGGCTTATGTACGCTCTTGTCCAACATTTTAGTTCCGTCCGTGATGTATGATATTTGTTTGTTGACAGCCATTGAGTATCTGTTAGCCCTGTACCGTGGCATATCCCCAGTTCCAACACTATCCGTCTACACGTTTCGCTGCGGCCAACATTGCGTCACGTACTGGTATGACAGTGTGACAATAACAGCAGATGTCAGTGTGCTGGCACGCAGTATTCGCGGTCGAGTTTGTCTCGTAGCTAAGTATGCTCGCTGAGACTGAGTAGGCACCATACTCTGATGTGGAAGCTACCAGTATACCACCTCAAACATCTCATTTCCCAACGTTGATCGCTTTTACCACCGACACTGACTGGCCGGGTTCTGTCCCAGCAGAGGAGCGAGAGCTGGCGCCTGACGAGCGTCCTCTGCACGTGCAGCTCAACTGGCACCAGGACGACCGCGAGGGGCGCTTCCTGCTGCGGAACCTCAACGAAAAACGCTGGGTGAGACGGGCACGCTTGGCGTCAGGGGATTGGGTGGGTGGGTGACTTAGTACAGGCTATATTTATTATGTGTACTGTTAAGTAATTGCAATATTCACTCTAATGCCACCATATAGATCCACGATATCCACGATGTATATCCACGATGCACTGTAATGCGATACGAGCGTATTCTTTTGCAGTCGATTTGGTGGCTAACGATGCGCTGATTTCAGTCATTGCGAGCACCTGGCGAATCAACACTAGACGAAGGCAACTTCAAACGCAAACTCAGTAAACGAGAGAAGAAAGACCTCAAGAAGAAGGGCAAACTCCACAAGATTAAGAGCATAAATGATCACGATTCAAGCGTGGCAGAAAAGCTATATACAGGTAAAGTAGACACTATCCTTCTGATGAGCTGTCAGCCCTCTGCCTCAATTTGCCCTCATTTACTGCGTCGCTCCCCATTTCATTTGGCATTCTGACACCCAGTGTTTGCCCTCTATAGCTTACTGGCATGGTTGGTACGTCATGCGCCGCTAGCATCATCTTTGCCAGCCCCTGTTGCTCTATATTCTAATTTTCCGTGATATATATTCTTCATTATCACCATCACAGAAGTAGGAACCTACCATATGACCTACCTATGCCACTGACCCCACCTTTGTCTCTGTTCGAGCCTGGTGTCGCGACTTTCATAAGATTCCGTTCTCACCAGCCGTCTCGCCTGCTTACCAGTCCTCGCAGCTCGAAACCCACCAAAGACCCCTATTACCTGCCTCCCTCCATGACCCGTTCCAGAGCTGCCGGAGACGAGTTTCACCCGTTCCATCAGTAACCCGGAGGCAGTGATGCGCCGCCGGCGGCAGCAGAAGCTGGAGAAGAAGCTGCAGCAGTTCCGCAGCCGAGACGGAGGACCAGACACCGGCGGAACGCTCAAGGTAAGAATGCAGGCGTGGGTGGACCGTGGGAAGGCATGAGTGAAGGGGAGGGATTGCGGAAGAAGGTTGACAGACGGTGGAGGGGGATGGGGAGGAATATGAGCGGTGGAGGAGGACCGTCGGAGGTAGGGTGGTTGGGTTTTGATACGACACCCCGCCCTACCCAACCCTCCCTGGCCCGTGCCCTGTCTCTCACCGCGTGCTGACCCGTCCCTCGTCTCCCCTTCCTGACAGATCTACGGCGAGAGTCTATGCAGCGACGTGCCGTACAAGACGCTGCTGCTGTCTGTGACCGACACAGCCGCTGCCGTGGTACAGGAGATGCTCCAAAAGTACGGCAGGTACCGAGAGGATCCCAACAACTACTGTCTCGTCCAGGTCAGTGGGCTCGCAGCTGAACAGATGGTACAGGCAGGGAGCGGTGTGCTGCTGCGGTAAAGAATGTCGGAGGCTTATCCATAGGTTTTTAGTAGGGGCCTTTGTTATCGTGTTTGGTACCGGCACTTGATGCGGACTTGGCTCATCACGAGACGTGTCGCGTGGCTGCACTTGAACTGTTCGGCATTTCGTTTTTTTTTTTATTTTAGACGCTTGGTAGAATGAGGTTACGCGGCACCTTTGGAAGGTCCGCAGCTATAAACTCCGCAATGTTTTTGTAGTATGATTTATACTTGGTTGGGCGTTGACCTAAACTGGTGGTTTACTGCAAATATCGTAACCATTTCTCATGAAATTGTCCATTGGAATCTCTTCTCATTTCTTATCTCACATATTATCTCATGCTTGCAAGGCCTCGCTGCGACCCAATCATATGTTCAGTATTATGTACCGATGGAGTTATCGTTCCTCGGAGTTATCGTTCATCAAGAAGTCCCGGCGATCTCGACCCTGACCGTGCCCTGTGTACTCGTCCTCGCCAGGTGGTGACCCAGGAGCCGCAGCAGGAGACCCGCGAGTACCGGGCGCCCACGGGGCCCTACAACGAGTACATTCTGGAGGACGACGAGTGTCCGCTGGCCATCCTGATCAACCACCCGCCCACGCCCGGTCAGTACTGCTGCTGGGGTCACAGGGCACGCTGGGGTCACACCGGCTCAGTAAGGTCATCAACCGCCCGGCCACGCTCGGTCAGTCTGCTGCTGGGGGATGGGCTTGGAGGGGGACACTGGGGGCTTACAGGTCGTGCTGATGTCTGTAGGGTCATACTGACTTCGGAAGGTCACGCTGAGGTCACGAAGAAAACACTGAGGCCGCAGTGGCCACACTGAGGTTGCAAAGGCGACAAGCGTTACGAGAATTACACGGGTTGATAATTAAAGTGGTGTCACGCCATCAGCCTTGCGGCGATTTCATGTAGGTTGGTGGTGTGCTCCGGTTGGTCTTGATGCTTCCTGGTGTCACTAGTTCCTCTGATATAGCCAGGCTTTGGAGAAAGCTCAGTAGCTGAGGCCGTGAGGCTCATATTGGCTTCAGCCGCGGCGCCGACTGGCTCGCATTGCGTCACGGAAACCTTATGAATCGGTCGCTCGAAAGTAATCTCGCTAGGACGAGTCGATGGTTTCTGGAAGTCAGACCCGCTGTTGCCGGCGTGCGTTTCGCGCTGCAACAGTGAGCAACTTCAAACGTTCTTAGATGCTGGTGTGATTGTTAGTCTTCCTCTGCGTGTTGATTCGCTTATTGGCGGCGTTGTGCACAAGTTTATTGGGTGAGTTGAGACCCCTGCTGGGAGTATACGTCAGTTCGGTCACGTGTGTCTTTTCTGCTCCTTGCCGCCTCGGTGGCTGGTGCATGTGTTGCTTGGTCTGGAGTCGACGTTGGGTTCACTGCAGTAGTGGTGTCCGGGTCTAGTGTTCGGGTCAACACGTCTAGTGTTCGGGTGAAATGTCAAGGAGAAGGGCATTCTAAGATTCAGATGCTGTAACCTGTTACATGCCCTTGGAGGAGCGGTAAGCATTGCTTATGTAGAGCTTAAAGAAAGTCTAATCTGCAGGTGATTGTCGTCGATTGGTGAAGCCGTCTTGACCTTTACGACTCACCCACGTCATAGGCTTCACGCAGTTGTCGGAGCTCCTATTGATTCTGTACTCGCATAAGAAAGTTGGAAAGTTGGAACGTGAGCATTTGGTCGGAAATGACTTGTAGGCGAAGCGTGGGCTCACGTATGATCGCTAACGGGCATGAAATGCCCGCTAGTTGGGCACAAGTTGAGCGGAAGTACGTTTTTCCGTCAGCCTTCGGAGTTAGTTGAGCACTGATCGTTGTGTGCGCCCACATCTCCTATAGTCTGTTGCATTACCTTGGACTGCTTAGGGAATTCGCATATTGTTTTCATCAGGTTTTATGAATTAATTGCCTGCAATCCACGGATGCCTCCCGACGAGTCAACAGTTCGTTTCTTTACGTCAAAACGGATGTATGAAACATTCCTTTCCAATGCAGCTCGATACTACATCGGTATTTCATTGAGCAACCACCGCCCCTGCTGCATAACAACGCTTTATTTTCAACGCTTACACAATCACTGAAATACCGCACCGTTTCGTTCACTGGCTCTATGTGATAGTGTGATACTGTTGTGCGTGGATGACGTTGTGAAATAAATCCGCGTTCGAATCGGCTCCAACGTGTCCGGGAGAGCGAAAACAATCCGACAGAAGCGGGCGTGCCGTGTAGCGCTGGTGATGGGAATGTATTGATACCGTGGCTAACTCAATATGCAGTGTGTGATGGTATAAGTATCGTTTTGCTGGTATAAGTATCGCCGAAATGAGTCCAGCTATATTCGGTCTATCTGTCTGATTCATATTTAGCCTTCTGGTTGGCCCGCCCGGTCTCCTCTGGTTTCCATACCATTCGTATCCATCTGGTGGTTGGGTCGCCGCGCTGTGCGACTCCCCTCGGTACGTGACTCTCTGCGAACGCCGAAGACTACGTGACCGACCACCGCGGTTTGGTCCCCTCCCACCAGTGGTGTGCGGGCGACGGACAGGCCACTGGCGCACTGGTTAGGGATATGAGGGGTTCCTGATAGTGTCAGATAAAGACACGCGTAAGCTGTCATAGTATTGTGTATTTTGGATTAGGATTTGCTATCAGCTTCCTCCGCTGATCCTGCGATTCGCTACCGTATCGCTTCTGTCGTGATTAAGTAGTGAGTTGCAGGGCTTGCCCGACGTCCCACTTATCGGCCGTGCAGTACGCCCCCGCCCTTATGGGACGATGGACAGGAATGAGAGTGCGGGCGCGTTGGAATGTGCTCGGCGTCCCCTCGCGCCCCACCGCACATCGCCTCAGTAGTGACTGGCCTCTGCGACTGGCATACTCCCGACTCTGCATAGAGTCATAGTCACGGAGTGGACGGCGTGATTCATTGACCGTGATTTCTCGTCCTGCTTTGGTCCAAAAGCGCGGTGTAAACTGAGGCATGAGGGAGGAGAGGGAGAGGCACTGCATGCGAGATTCGAACCAGGGGAACAAATATGCGGGAATCTCTTAGTGGTCGTGACCAGATTGGACGAGAGCTGTTCGCAAGTCATATGTGTGTAATTATGTGCTACTGACTGCTGATGGCGGTTGAAGTGACATCCTTGAGGTTGGGGTCGATGGATTCGATGAGGGTGAATCGATGCATTGTGACCTTGACGGAGAATGCCATTTTTAGTAAGTTCCCACAATATCTGACACCGTCCAGTTTTCCTTAATCGTTTACGTTGTCAATTAAGCAGACGGAATCTCTTTATTAGCTCGTCGACCGGGACCACTTGTAGATGTTCTCAAATGGACTGAACCCGAAGCAGTTGCACAAGATGCGAAACCTCGTTTGCGAAAAAATATCCAGCTTGTCACTGATCGGCAAACCAGCCGTGAATCGCACTGGGTTCTGGTTTGGGATGTTTGTGAGCTGTGTAAGCTGTGGGACGCTGGCTAATGTTATCCACAAGCCCGAAGCGACCTCTGTTTGGATTCGGGCGCGGTCGTTTTGGACATTTGCCACTGAAACTTTACGATGTTCTCCATGGAATTTGGTGGTGGAACAGTACCTCGCGTGCCTGGTTCGATCAGAGGCCCAGTTTTCGTGAAATTAGCTCCCGACTGTTTGACCAATCATCACTGTCGCGAGTCGTTGACCTTTTGTTTAGCGATAATAAAACCGCAACGAACCCTACAGTTATGGATATAGTGATACCACTCATTCTTGCAGAAAGCTTTGCCTGCGCTCTGCTGGCTGGTTGCTCGCTCTCAATCGCCAGCAAAGCTTACGATCTCGATATTCTTAGACCAGCCTTTCTATTCCTACCACGTCATTCCTACGCAATCCGACTCCTGTCTCCTGGACCACTGCCACATATTCGTGTTGTAATTGCGAGCGGCCGTCTGCAGCGCACCCCACCCCCCCCCCCCCGAGTAGGGGGGGGATGGCACGGGTGCACCAGCCGTGAGGTGGGGGTCGGGGGAGCCCCGACGGCGCCGGCGCACCGGCCGCCCCTGTGGCCAGCGCCGTGGCCAGACGAACACAGTCGGTGCATCCCACTCGTAGTGTTGTAGTCAGCGTGTGATCTGGCGTAGCCGCAATGGTGTACGGTGAGTGGATGGGGTTGAGGCAGCCGCGCATTGGTAAGATGCTTGGTCGGGTGTGCCGCATATGTTTAGAGTTCTGTAACGCCTAATGGTTTCCTCGCCTAGGGTTGCTGGTGGGAAGTTCTGGGGAGGAGCAGGGAGGGGAGGGGGTTTGTTGCTTAGGGGATGATAAGTGTTTGTGGTGTCGGCAACCATGGTCAGTGCTGTTTTCCATCCTAAACTAGTTTTAGGTCATGCTTTGCGGCAGGGTGACAAACCGCAGTCAGATCTTGTGTGCGAGCTGCTTACGCTCTCACTGACGCTTTGTGTGCCTCAGACGGCAAAAGCACCTTTTCATTCGCCGTTTCAGTAACTAAAGAATCGAGCTTTCCCTCACCCCCCCCCCCCCCGCTGTCAAGAGTGCCCATCGCCAGCTTTTTTCGAGAGGGGATCGGCGACACTCAGCAATGATTGATCACCAATTGTTCGCTGCACCGCCGTGTGCGTTCGTCTCTGTCCGCAAGGAGTCTGGACTCTGAATGACTGGCTGGCTGATGTGGGAACTTTGATATTGCGCTGCTATTCGTTATGATCAGTCTTGGTGAATGATTCTCCCGCCAGTTGCCTTTTGGGGCATCACGCATCAGAGACGGAGTTGTATCACATTTTTGTGCATTTCCCTTGTTAATTGAAGCATGATATTTCGTCCTTTTTTGGAAGAAATTGCTTTTTATTGCCTCTGCAGTTCAAACAGTTCAACTGTTTGTTTGCGACACCTGACTCATTTTTGTAACCCATTTTGCCAATATGAAGAATCTGTCCTACATCCCCCTGAAAATAGGGGTTTGTTTTGATTTTTCCCTAGCTTCTTTCTCCTGTCCTCTCTGCTTTGGACCGCGAATTACTTTTAGGTAGCATAACTTGAGTGTCTTGGGTGTTATGCAATACATTAGATATTACAGATCGCTCCAATATATTTCCGCTTGTGCATGTCACACGTCAGCATTACACCGAGTAATCTCATTTTCGTTCTTACACTCATCCAATTAGATCCGTTTTTGCGAACACCTAGGTACGGCGGTGACGACCGGCAGCAATTGGATCCAGTTAACCAGATTGGCAGTTGTTAATAATTTGACACTTACCAGCGCCGGTGCCCTACAGAAGGCAGCTCCTCTGACGGAAATCGACCCGACCCGTCTCGGTCGCCGCTGTCGTCGCACAGCACACGGCGACGCTGTCGTGTTTACCGTCTAGTGCGGTAACTTATTTGTTTTGTTGGGTTAGGCCCTTTCGGTCTGACGAGATCATTTCAGGGCCGGAAGGATGATAGGAATTAGGGGGGAGACATTGGTCAGGGCAGACACCCTAGAGAGTCGCCGGGGCTGAGCCCGTCCGAAAGGACAGACCGACCAGCCCCCCAAGCACTCTCTGCACCCGGCTACGGGGTGCGCTCCCTCGGGAGCAGCGGTGCCGCTCCAAGGGAGCAG